GGTGATGACAGGCATAGTGAGTAGGAATTTGGAAGCTACTTAGGAGAGGGTCAGAGAGCACCTGATCATCATTTGAAAGTGAGAGGAAAAGATGGAGTCCAGGGTGCCATTCATCCATGGAAACTGGATGCATGGTAGTGTCATTAATTGAGAATGGCACCAAAGGGACAGCAGGTGTGTGGGGAAGAAATTAGGAGTTTAGCAAAAAAGGTGGGGCACTTGCAAGACATCTCAAGGCATGTCTGAGCAAGAGAGAGAGAGAAACACATGGGCTTGGATCTCTGAAAAGAGGAAAGAATTTCCCAGTCTTGAAGTGGTCATCATCTAGCTCTGTTTCTCACAAGGCCTGCTGTGGGGTACCTAGCACTTGGTTTTGGGGAATGGCAGAGTAGAGGTTAGTTGGGCACAACTAAGGTCCTGGCTAAGACAATGAGGCCATGCCACTAGGTGGCACCACCAACATAACATAGAAGGCCCTGTTAGCCAGCAGTCTGATTTAGCTGAACCAAAGAAGCCTTGGGGCTTAGAAGTAGGACTGGGAGACATGGCATTGAAATGATTACACTGGCAAGGTCCTTGGAACCAACAAGGCAATTCCCTGGGAACTTTGACAGAAAGTGTAAGTTCCTAGAAGCTCAGGTGACTAGGGTCTCTGTTGGATTTCTGTACAGGTGAGGACAGAGCTTGTACTGAACTTTCCAAAGTATTCCTGGGGTTTTGGAGCTTTCTCCCATGCTATTCTTTCATGCTGAGATCTTCTCTCTCACTTGTTTATTCACTCAACAATTATTTATTGAGTGCCCAACAGTGAGCTGGATGCTGGAGAAAGGATAGTGAACAAAACAGTCATAATTCCTGCCCTCATGGAACTTACTGGCATGGAATAACATAATTGCACAAATAAATTATCACAGGTTTTGATAAATGCTGGCATTTATAGAGGGCTATGAGAAAACATTGTCAGGTAGTTCCCATTTCTAGGTTAGGAGAGAGAGGCATTCTCTTTTGAGCTGGAAGAGGAAACTAAGGCCCAGGACATGGTAGGTGTGCACGCTGTCACTGATCAAGTGAGGGCACTGCTAGGACCAACAGCCTCACTCCTGACTGCCGAAAAAAATAACTAGCTTTAGGCTGATATCTACCAGAACATGTCTTCCCATCCCTCTCCCTGCTGCCTCCTGACTTCAAAGCTAGTCCTTCTGGAAAATAAGTATTGATTGGCAGCCCTGACGTTTGATGACCATAAGCCTCCAAACCCCGCTCTCGCCACCTCCTCTCCCCCACCCCATATAGAGTATAGTCCAGTCAGCTTGGCAGGGACTGTTGGGTCCAGGCTGGAGGACCAGAAAGTGTGTGGGGTGGGGAGATAACTTGCAGCTCTCAGGTTGAGAGCAGCTATGGAAGGGCCAGGCCAGAGAGGGTCAGGCCAGAGAAGCAGCATCTGCTAGTCTGTGGTAAGAGACAAGGCTCAAGTGCAGGCACTCTGATGAAGAGACAGTGAGGTAGAAGGATGCTCTAATGCCAGGAAGTGACGTTGAGGGAAAGAGGGATGGGGGATGAAGGATAAAGATAGAGGGAGGATAGAGCTGGGCCACATGGATCGGAGGGAGAGCTCCAGGGAATGCTCAGAGAGCTCTTGACCCCAGGTCTCTCCTGACCCCTGTCTCCTCCCTCCCTCCCCCCACTTATTGCAGTTCCTGCAGAAGGCAGAGAACACAGTAAAATTCCGGACACTGGTTCCCAGGGAGCAGGGCTCCTTAATATCTAGCAGGTACTAATATCCTGGCCAGATCTATGGCTCCAAGAGGGATGGGGTAAGCCACAGAACAGCGAAGGCACTCTAGTCCCCAAGGACTTTGAGAGGTCATGCAGTCCATCCCCCTGTCTCTCAATACCCAGCACTCCCAGAACGAGGGGAATCATAATCTCTTTACCCCTCCCTGGACATGAAGAAATTCCCAGTTTCTCCCCAGACTCTCTGCTTCCCATAATCTCTGGCTGTGGGGAACTTCTTAAGACATAGACTGTATCCCTTTTGCTGCAGCCTCTGGCTTGGTTTCTCCTATCCTATCCTCTGTGGCTAGAGAAAACCCTCTTCTGGGGTATCACAGCTGTTCCTTAGGCTCTCCCCTCCAACGTTCCTTCCTTGTTAGTTGGTTCTTCCCAAGAGGTAAGCCCAATCCCTCCTACTGCAGTACCCAGCATCTCTCCCTTGTCGCATCCTACGCCTCCAAGGCAGAAATGCACTCCCTTCCCCAATAGATAATCAACATAGACAAGGGAAAAGAAGGGAGCTGTCCAGGAGGAAGGGGATGAATTAAGGAGATGAAGGCTGTTGGTGCATGCTCGGCACAGATGGAGGAGGACCAGGGACCTCCTATGGCGGGGTTGGGACGGAGCCCACGGGCCTCACCGGTGTCGGGGTCTCCCAGAAAGGCGTCCTCGTCCTTGCGGCCCCTCAGCGGGGC